CGAGCAAAAGCTATTAAGGTATGTAAGGTTATAGTTCGGACTTTATGGAAACTAGAATGAAAATCATGAATGTTTTTAATATTTATGGTAATATATATGAATTTATTTTATTTCCATCTATATTGTTAATATAGGAAAAATATGATGAACTTTTAATGAGCACTGCTAGTGGTGATGGTGGTGATGGTGGTGGTGATGATGGTGGTGGTGGTGGTGGTGATGGTGGTGGTGGTGATGATGTTGCCGTGTCTGAGCCATCGGTTGACAGTATGGCATTATGGGTGGAGGCAGCGGGTGGGATGAAAGGAGGAAAAATATTTGGGATGGGATCCTTGTCAAGGATGTACAAAACGAAGGTTGCTGCAACTTCATCCTCCAATGCGACTGTTTCAAGGAGGACACGACATGAGGAGCATATGACCCAAGAATTGAGCCAACTGAAACAGTTGCTTGTACAGAAGGACGAAGAAATGAAGCATTTACTTGGACAGAAAGGACGAAGAAATAAGGGTGATGCAACAACAAATGCAAATTATCATGTGACATCTCGACATCGATCACAATGAGGTTCCTCCTCTACCTCATATTAATCCAATAGGTGATGGCCATAATGCTGAGCCACACAATGATGCGGCGATTGGTGATGATGATGATGATGCTGATGATTTTATTGTCAGTCCTTCCTAGTTCATTCTCGAGTACCAAAACTGCCAACGTTTTATGGTTGTCCCGCGTTCTTTCAATGTTTTGAATGTATTATATGATGTTCATTAGTGCTTAGCTACCCCTTTGTATTATGAGATTGAATATCGAATATCATCATGTGAGACTTTGCAACTTATACATTGTAGAAATTAATATTGCTAATAATTAGATTTAAAATCGAAATTGTCCCTAAACAAAATTCGTCGCAAACTTAGTGACGAATTTTGTTACGAATAGATTTCATTGCAAATTACCAACGAAAATTGAAATTTTTGGTCGGAAAAATTCGCGATTTCCCACGATTTTTTCAACGAATAATTAGCGACAAATTTTGCAACGAATTTCCCACGAATTTTGTTTTCGTCTCAAATTACCAAGGAAAATTGAAATTTTTTGTCGGAAAAATTCGCGATTTCCCATGATTTTTGCAACGAATAATTAGCGACAAATTTTGCAACGAACTTTCCCACGAATTTTGTTTTCGTCGGAAATTACCAACGAAAATTGAAATTTTTGTCGGAAAAATTCGCGATTTCCCACGATTTTTGCAACGAATAATTAGCGACAAATTTTCCCACGAATTTTGTTTCCGTCGCAAATTACCAACGAAAATTGAAATTTTTTGTCGGAAAAATTCGCAATTTCCCACGATTTTTGCAACGAATAATTAGCGACAAATTTTGCAACAAATTTTCCCACGAATTTAGCCACCACTTTTGTTTTCGTCGCAAATTACCAACGAACATTGAAATTTTTTGTCGGAAAAATTCCCGATTTCCCACGATTTTTGCAACGACTAATTAGCGATAAATTTTGCAACGAATTTTCCCACAAATTCAGCCACGAATTTTGTTTTCGTCGCAAATTACCAACGAAAATTGAAATTTTTTGTCGCAAAAATTTGATTTACGACGAATTTTTTTTCGTCCATAATTTCGTGGGAAATTCGTTGTGCCACGAATTTTGCCACGAATAATTAGCGACGAATTTATCCACGATTTTTCCAACAAATTATTAGCAACGAATTTTGCCACGAAATTTTGCAATGAACTTTGCCACGAATTTATTTTCGTCGCAAATTACCAACGAAAATTCAAATTTTTTGTCGCCAAAATTTGCCAAAAAAAATTTGCGACGAATTTTTTTGTTCGTCGGTAATTTCGTGGGAAATTCATTTGCCACGAAATTTGTCACGAATAATTAGCGACAAATGTTGCCACGATGTTTGCAACGAATAATTAGCAACGAATTTGGCAACGAATTTTCCAACAAATTTAGCCACGAATTTATCTACGAATTTTGCAACGAATTTTTTTGCGTTGCAATTTACCAACGAAAAATTAAAATTTTTTGTCACAAAAATTTCCAACGCCGAATTAGCGACGAATTTTTTTTCGTCGGAAATTCGTTTTGCCACGAATTTTACCACGAATAATTACCGACGAATTTTGCCACAATTTTTGCAACGAATAATTAGCGACGAATTTTCCAACGAACTTTCCAACGAACTTTGCAACGAATTTTGCCACGAATTTTGCCACGAAAAAATTTCGTCGCAAACTACCAACGAAAATTTAAATTTTTTGTCACAAAAATTTGTGACGATGAATTACCAACGAATTTTTGTTTGTCGCTAATTTCGTTAGACGAATTTTGCCAAATTTTTCGTTGGAAAATTCGTGGCAAAACCCTTGTTTTTTTGTAGTGTGATCGGACATAAGGACATATAATCTATACATACACATCCAATCCAATGAAATAAATTTGTGATGGACCTAAGCCAAAAGTTTAAAGACATGTTTATATTGACTTTTTTATTTTTACCTTTTGCTCTAATAAATAGGGCAACTCACGCAATTTGACTTTCTTTTTTAACTCGAGACTCTTGAAACTTTCACATGTATACCAATATTGATAAGTAGATAACATATATTTTTCATAATTTATGTAAATTTAGATAAAATTTTTGATGGAATAAAATATTTTTTGTTTTTGTTTAACGTCTAACAAACGGGCCTTCAATATGTGAGAGCTTGGCAATATATTTGGTATTTGCCCACAACCTTGGCACTGCTTGCGAGCTTCCGATCACATTCCATTGGCTCTTTATTTTCAAAAGAAAAAAATCACGAGCAACCCGGGGTGAAAGTTTTAGAATCAAATCTCGAGCCGACATGACTATTTGACTATATTTAATCAATATGAATCCTCAACTTTTAATCTATTCAATTAAATTTTAATCTATGTTGGACTGCTAATTTCGGCATAAATTTAAGCACCATATACCGGTGCCAACCAAAAGAATTAATCACTGGTGCGATTGAGCAATGAAAAGCTATTTAAAATGCAAAGTGGTTGCTCAGAGTGGTATGGATGATCTCAAGAAAAAGGGAAGTCACTGGAGCAAATCCCAATGATTTAAGTAGAACCCTAAAGGCTCCTTTAGATAATGAAGGTAGGGTTCCACTATCGAGTTTGGAAGTTGACTAAGTTGCTCCCCTCCTGCACCCCTAGGAGATGTTAACTCGAATGGAGGGTAGAGGTAGCTCCCACGCCACGAGAAATATAGTGACCGGGATACACTCCAGTAAGACTTTGAACTGAGTAGATCCTTAAAAAGCTCCATAGATAATGAAGGGGAACATCTTTGGGAAGGGTGGTCCAGTCGAGTCTATCGTCCCAATACCCTGGATACAATAGGGGTAGAGGCAGTTCCCACACCTCGAAAAATATATGGCTGGGATACACTCCCACAAGACTTGGACCTGAGCAAGTCCTAAAACTACTCCGTCTGAATTCTAGGACATTAAACTCGGGGTATTCCCTGGAAAAAAGGAAGAAAAATTTTCTCTTCAATTGGAGGGTTAAGCATGTGGGAATTAACACGTTAAAATAAGGAACGCAGTATTATCAACCTGTCGGAAAGTTTCGATTTTCCCCTGCTTTAGTGAGGTACCCTTGATAACCAGGGGCCTAAGCTTCGCTTTACGATAAGTGAGACGAGTTTATACTCCCATTTCATGCAAGGCATTCGGGTTATATTTATCATAAGCTTAACTTTGGCTTAAGAAGTTTATTGAAATTCAGTATTATGCAATCTTCCAAATCCTCGAAAAAATAAATGTAAAATAGTAGCTCAATAGGGTGCAATAAAATCCATGTTGCTTAAAACTTGTCTATGCAACAATTGGATAGAAATGATCGGATGTGGCACAATCAATTCAATTTATTGTTTTTCATGACATTTATCTAATTTAATGAAGGATAAATTTGTACCACGAAAAATTTCAAACTTGTACACCTATAACAAATTTATTGTCGGCTAAATTGGATAATACCACGAAGAACCATAAATTGGTAAACTTGTGACAAACAGATGAGTGAAACCTCAAATTGGTACAACTGTCAACTGCCGCGTGTCATCCAACTAAGCAATTTGACAGTAAAATTTAACGAAAACTAACGGAAGGTAAATTTATCACAGGTGTACCAATTTTGGATTTTTGGTGGTCAACAAATTAGATTAGAGTAAAATTGTCATAAATGTACTAGTTCGAGATTTTTCATGACGTTATCCCAAAAAAAAATGACGCATTATCGCAATTACCAGAATACCCTCAAGCGTCTTCTGAATCACAAGAAAACCAAACCCCAATTCGGACAGCGACGCCCGAATAAAAGAAAAAAATCCAAGGAAGAGAGATTCGATTTGAACCAAGGGAGTGTTTTCGCTACGAAAGTAGGGTTTCTTAAATTTTAACCTTAATTTAATCTAGGGGTGCTTTACTTTCCTCCGTTTCAATCATCAAAGGGTTAATATCGCGAAAAACCTCAAACTGGTACGCGTATGATAAATTTACCTCAAACTAACTTTTTGACTACAAAAAATCCCAAACTAGTAAACTTATGACAAATTTACCCTCAGTTTATTTCCGTTAAATTTTACAGTCAAATTGATTTTTTAAATAACACGCAGCAATTAATGGATATACCAATTTTATGTTTTACCATTCGTTTGTCCCAGATATACCAGTTTATGATTTTTTGTGGAATTAATTCAATTTAATGGAAACCAACGGAGGGTAAATTTATCACAAATATACCAGTTTGTGATTTTTGATGGTCAAAAAATTAATTTAAAATAAATTTATCATAAATGTATCAATTTAAAATTTTTCATAATTAAAAAATTAATTTAAAATAAATTTATCATAAATATATTAATTTAGAATTTTTCGTGATATTAACCGACGTTAAAAAAAGGCCCTCTTTTGGCTATAAAGGTAAAAGATTCTCGATCTATGTTCGGTCCCCCCGATCGATCGAGAGAGGTTTGAGGTTATTCTCGCGCATTCGTCTCTCGATTTCTTCGGCGCCGAATCCGATTGCTCGTGAGATTTTTCTTTCTGGGCTGCTTCCGCCCTGTGGCCGCCCAAATCCATGATCGTGCGACCTCTATGGACCACTCCCAAGCTCACATCACTCCCATCGAACAACAACAAGAAGACGAGTGGGGTAATTCGAATTTCTCTTTCTTTCTTTCTCTTAATTGATTTCGCGGGTACCCAATATCCTCTGTTGCTTCTTGGATGTTATCTTCATCGGAAACGGCGTTGTTATCTGTTGAGACCCGTGTTGCGATGTTCGCGGGAATCGCTGCCCGGCGACCTGGGAGTTTGGATGAATAATGGGTCTTATGGTGATCGTTTCGTTTAGATTCGGCATTGGTCTGACTGTTGCTCTGAGCTTCGGTTTTGTGTGCTGATATGTGTCGAGTTGGACTGATGTTGGTATTGTTGCTGCTCTTGGTTTTCGACGTTGGGGGAGGACAAGTGCGGGGCTTGTGATTCAAAGCTGGGGCTTTTTGTTCCTCTTGGCATGATTTTGTTGGCACCCGTCCCTATCGAATTTTGTCGTGTTGATCTGATCATGATGAAGAGAGTCCCCTCATTTTATGCTGTCTTCCATCAAGTCCAAGATTGTGACTATGGAGGAGGAGGGAAGTAGTTGTTGAAGGATGCTGCATACACTGAGACATATGGTTTGCAATCCCAGGCCTCCCCTCATATCAGTGACTGCGAATCGAAGGTGGACGCTGCAAAACTGATTCGAAAGATTCTCCAGGGGGAAAAATAGAGATGTCTCCTACGTTACCTGTCTTATATGGAAGTATTAACCTAATTTCATAGGCATTACAATAAATAAAATGAGTAAAGGAGGAGGATTTTAAGTGCGAGATCTCAAAAAAATGTCTTTCGGTGGTAACACTCTAGGGTTTGGGGTACTAATTCCAACTCTAAGAGATTGGATCGAATTGATATAACTATTCGATCCAAGATCTCTTATTGGATTGTTCATTCAAAGAGTATTCTCATTCGAATGCTTTGAAGCAACTAATGGTTCAGAACAGAAGTAGCATGGATTCATAAAAGTCCCGCTGATGGGAATTGATAGGTAGGTAGAAGAGAGAATGGGCGCAACGATGCAGAGGATAGGGAAGTACGGAGAAGGGAAGGCAAACACTAGCATTTCTAGCTGATCATATCACATTTGGTTCTTCGATATTTGAGAATCACCGTCGCATCTCACTGTAGGTCCGGGATAACCTTTAGTGCCCTTCAGTGCTTCTTTGGTTCTTTGATTTGAGAGATTTCTTCTTTGATTCGATGTGTGGCCTAGTCCATTCCTTCCCCATTCACGGGTTCTCTCTTCAACTGTAAATTTCACATTTGTCATGGGCACAGCAATGTGTCTGCTCAGAAATTTTGAATCTTTTAGTTAATAAGGGAAATTTGGGGGCAAGCCTGTTTTTTTTTTTTTTTTGAAGTGACCTTTATTTTTCGAGCTATGTTATAGCCCTCCTTCCACTTTGGATGTGGTTCAAGGGCTTCCCTTGTAATAGCTTAGACTAGACAAATTGATCTTTGAGGGTGAGCACTTTCATTGTATTCTCCACCAACTTCTTCAACATATGTTCTGATATGTGTTAATTCTTGAGTTGTTCGTGGTCAGTGCGGTGCGTTGCGTGGCGTGAAACTTATTTGATAGTCTGTATTTCATTGTGTGGCTTGCTCGTCTTCATTTTGACTGCTGACTATACCTTGATCTAGTCTGAATCTCTGGTGTCCTTTACAGACAATGATGGCTTTGTAATTCCAAGCTTGGGTATAGATGAACTAGATTTAGGTGGAGGTAATGCTCCAGAGGTAGATACTCCATCACCTTCTTCTCCAAAGGTTAGTTAATGGAGCTAATATGCAGTTGCGGTTTCTCGTACTAATCATAAGCAGCTCAGAATTGTTCTCTTGCGGTATTGTGTGGACAAATAATGTTTTGTGTATGTGAATGTCATATTCCTGCAGGCAAAAAAGGAAGAGACCATCTACCTGGGACCACACGGCGCCCCTCCGTCGCAATCTAAGATACAGACACTGAACTCCTCTGGCCGCAAGCAGCGTCTCAAGCAAAAATTGAAGGAAGCAGATAAAAGAACTATTGGCTCTGGGAGGGAGAATAAATTAGAGAACATAAGGGAGCTTGTCGGTGGTGGAAAAGCAAGTTCCAATATGTCAAAGGGTTCCTCTAGGGATTGGCTGGATCCACACTGTCAGGAGTCCCAGTTTGAGAAGTGGTGTCCTCAATGAGAGTAAAGGTTCCGACAGCTGAAGACATTTTGCTAAAGTATTGAATGGTGGCGACCTCCGTTATGAGGCTTGATGCCTGTGGAGACTTTATATGCTTCAAAGCAATGTACTATGACACTAGTCTGCTGGCTCGACCTTTTTGTACTGTTATCATAAGAGCACCTGCCATAATTAGCTTACTTGTGCACTTATCAAGCAAAAATAAGAGCTTATGTTTTACAAGTCATTGCTTGGCCATAGTGATGAATTTTTCATTCCTTAGCGTTGAGATTGTACCGGGCATGACCTTCATGTTGTGGATCGGCAAGGAGTTTCTGTTCATGAGCTAAATGGAAGGATATGATGCAGAGGCCACTATAACTATTCACCAGTGCAGATTAGCGGTGTGCACTGGAAAGTGCAGGTAAGATCTCAACCAGTTTATACGTCTTAACCTGAGGTGTAGTGCTGAGCAATTCAAAGACCTCTTTTGGGTAATCTGCGTGTGCTATTAAATACTGCAACGTCAATGTGTTTTTTGTGATGAACCAAAAAGAAAATCACCTCACCAAATTTCCCATCTGTTCCTTGATTTTTTAATTTAAGTTTGCTTGAGGATTACATTGACACTTGAGTATATGCGCGAAGTATGTCTTGCATTAGCAATTGTGTAGTCCGAGCAAATTGGTAGATCGGTCGCTGTAGAGGTGGCATAATGGAATGCTCGAATTTGGTTAAGCATGACTGAAGTAGAATTCCTTTCAGGATACTTGGAAACCAATGTTGTCGTTCAGCACCGAAAAGAAAAAGGAAAAGAAAGAACAAAAATGGTAGTAAAAGAGACAGTTGACTAATTGATTGCCTTCGGCACTCGTTACATTAATCAGGAATTTGTCCGCTCTTTTCTTCACAGAATATGAATATAATGAAATCCTCAACTTCAAGCGCTACAATGATGAATGACAAGCCGGCATTTGTTTCAAGCTCACCTGCTAAAAGAATGATCGACTAAGAGAAAGCAAAATACGCCCCTCACTGGCATCATCACCGTCAACCTATGGTTCCGACTTCCGATCGGCTGCCATTTGAACAAGTGTGATTTCATGTTACTGTTACTTCGAGAACCCATCAAGAATAGAATTTGCCAATAGTTCTCGAGTTGATACCTAGAAATTCTAGGCTTGCTGCTCGGGGTCTCAGACCATACTGATCTAAATATTCATCGTTGTGGAACTTGCTTAGATGCCTCATCCCATTGTCACAGAGGATAGTCACTATAGTGTGACCTGGGCCTATTGACTGGGCAACTCTGACCGCTCCTACGCAATTCATGGCTGAAGAACTCCCCAGAAAGAGCCCGTCATTTTTTAAGAGGAACCTGACAAACGATCGGCAGATGAAGCAATCAAAATCTCCAGTTGAGGTCCAGAGATGAGAAATTCAAAAATTCATTGTTCTTTTGGACGAAAATAAAATCTCTTGGTTTGACAAGCATTAATATAACTGAGAGATGCATCTTATAATGAAAGGCACAAGATTAAGCACAAATACGCACATGTACATGCACGTGTTTTAATGGACATGGGAGACGAGTGAAGGAAACACACCAACCTTGACATCTCAACAGCCTCCAAATCCATCCCCCGGAAAGCTCCATCGAGATTTGCCATCTTAAAATTCTCTGTCAGTCTGTTAATTCCAATTCCTTCAGTTACAGTGTCGAATGGATTCTTCAGCCTTCGCCCTTCAGCCTCCTCCTTTGTGTACATCACTCCCCTCGTCACTTTATTGAACAGACCAGAACCCGGGGGATCTATAAGGAAGCATTTGACCTTCTGATTTTTCTCCTGCAGCAAAACATTAAGGAACTTACTTGGATAAGCAATCACTCAAACAAACTAGGCATCTATATTACTACCATAATTCGGGATTTGTCAGAGGAAGAAATTATATTGACCTGAAGAAATCTTGAAACACCAGCCAAAGTGCCACCAGTGCCTGCTGCCGCTACAAACGCGTCTATATTACCACCTGTTTGTTCCCAGATCTCAGGCCCGGTACCTTCATAGTGGGCCCTAAAATTTGCAAGGTTTTCGAACTGGTCAGCAAAAAATCCTCCTTTGTAATTACGTAATGGACTTGAACTAAGCGTCTCTCCACGACAATGGTAACCGTTGACATGCTCTAATTGTATACCATCTGTTTGCTCATCTATCCCGGATTTCGATGCTAACTCATTTGCTTCTGTTGCTCGTCTCCTTGCAATGTTGACATAATGATCTCTATGCGTAATCGACACTGGCCTCACCCTCTCCACAGTAGCTCCAAGAGCTTCAAGTATTTGAGACTGAGATAAACAGACGAAAGAGTCGAAACACAATGCTTAATGGAAGGAAGAGAAGGACAAGATTCTCCCTGGGGCTTCGACATAATTCCACAGACAAGTCAATAATTGTTATGTTTTCTCACGATCGTCAATTATTCTTATACATGAACACTTTAACAAGGCCACAGGTCAGAACCCACAACTTGTTCATGGTGGTGTCCAAGTTGCAATAGGTTTGCCATGATCATGCATTCTGACTATCTTACCTAATAAAACAGACAGACAGACATTACAGATTATGACAAAAATAGCTGTTATGGAAGTTAACCGTGATTCCGTGGGGGAAACGCCCAAATAGGCTGAAAGAGTGTTTCGCCCAGCTTGAAGCAATAAGGATTATATAAGTTAAATTGCCTAATTGAATTATTGGGCCAATTATGATCCTCTAAAATTCATCAACCAAATGAAAAGAGAAGGTTAAAGCAAAAAAGAGTTGCTTATGAATTCTACATGAGAAAACATCATGAAAAATGCCACTCCGCAACCTATTTGGCACGGGGTGAAAGAGTCAAGATCAAGTTCCATTAGTAATATCAGGTTCTTGTCATCTATACGAAATTCTAAAACACCTCAAGACGAAACCACTTTTCTTCCAAAACCTGTTTTCTATATATATCGGAGCAGTATAAGCTATCAACAAGATAGCACATGCATTCTCCAGTATGCGACACATGCTGCCTGCGCTGGATATTCTCATGCCAAAGCAACTACTGTAGGGAAGAATGCAGTTTGCCTATCAACCAACATCAAGAAAGTCATGACAAAATGTTTCTTCAAGTCCAAACTCATGCCAAATCCAGCCACTTGTTTTCAACAAGAGGTTTTAACTCTTAAGAGTAAAAAACAAGATTAAATGGGTTGAACCTGGCAACTGTTGACACATGACATAATGGAACAGCAGCTTATGTTAGGCAATACGAACCTTTTCAATAGCAACATCATCTGGGATAACCACGTGGCATTTGCATCCATATGCCGGAGCCACCGTGGCAAGGCTAATGGCCGTGCTACCCGCGCTGCCCTCAGTGACCACCCCTCCTCTTACTAACTTGCCAGATTCCAAGGCCTGCCGAATATGAAAGTCAGACAATGAACCTGACAACACGTTGATCAACAAAGGAAACCGAGTGCAGTGTTTACCTCCTCGATAATTTTCACAGCAACTCTGTCTTTCACACTTCCCCCGGGATTTAAGAATTCGCACTTTCCAAGAATCTGAAGCATTCGCAGGTAATTAAATTACTTTCAAACTGGTAGAATACCTATCCCCACATCGGACGAGTGAAAACCGCAACCTCTTCATTTTGCATTGTTATAGACGAAAAAAATATGAACAGAACGACCATCAAACGGAGTTTGAGCAGGTTACTACCAATGACTACGAGTACAAGAAAACTGATTAAGCATCAGCAGAGTTAACAATGTGTTAGAATACGACTAGAAAGCGAGGAATCGCATCGCAGCGGGAAGTTCACGAATCAATAGCGATTGTCGTTTGTCACGCCAGTCAAGAAGCATTTCGGCACAGAAACGATCGACAACGTTCGAGAATCCAGTGAATCTACCAAAGGCTCGCCACGGAATCACATGCATGTTTATCGCCTCGAATCATCAAGGAAGAAGCTCGAAAACTTCGATTGTTCCTCGGCGAAAGGAGTGAGCGAAACGAACGTCGAGCAAAGCAAAGGGCGAGCTGGATACGAGACTTTTACCTCGCAGCCGGTGGCGTCGGAGAGGCTGTCGATTCGGATCAGCGGGGTGTTCCCGACGGCGCCGACCACTCCGTCCTTGCCGCGTCCGTTCCGCTTCTTCTCCGGCGGCGCCCTCCTCTGGGAGCGGAGGCTGCACAGCAGGTACGAGAGGACGGCCAAGGAGACGGCGGCGGCGGCGGCGGCGGCGGCGCCCGCGGCCTTCGCAGGCGCCATCGCGGCGGTTCCGATTGCCGAACCGAGCCGAGCTAAAAGCTGAAAAAGAACTGCAACAACAATAAGGATTGAACCGATTAGGGGGGATAATAAAGTAAAACTGGAGAAGGCGGTTCAGGGCGAACTCAGTAGAGGTGAGCAAGACGGACCATCCAAATCGGGATCGGATCGGATCGATCGGTTTGGTCCGGTTCTCGGTTCCTAAAAATGAAATTGATTTTCGAGCGGTTCGATTCTCGGTTCTAGGGTAGGAACTGGACCGATCGGACTGGATCGATAAATATATATTTTTCTAAAATTTTCATATATATATATATATATATATTTATTTACTTTTTAAAAAATTTTAAAAAATAGAAAGCTTAATTTAATTTCCTCAATTCCCTATTGCCTTTACCAATTAGTGATTGGTCCCATTAGAATCGGACCGGACCAGACCAATGGTCTCAAGACTAATCGATCTAGTCTCCGGTCCTAGAAACTGGGAACCGGTCTTTCCGGTCCGGTTCCCGGTTCTTGGGTTGGACCTGAATGGATCGGGAACCGCTCACCCCTGGAACTCAGGACGGAAACAGAAAAACGGACGTAACGGCGTAATGGTAATGCGCCTGGGCCTTCTGAAACGGGCCCATGTGGGTAATTCCGTTTATTCTTTGCCAATTTCTTTTATTTTTTTCCTTTATTTTAGTTAAAAAATCTCCCAAGTTAAACTATTTCCATCTTCCTTTTAGGCTCCGTCTGTTTTGTAAAAAATGAATAATTTAAAAAATAATTTCTAAAAGTAATTGCTCATATTTTTAAAAATAATTAGTCAATAAAAAATATTCTCATTATCAATAATAATTAATGTTTATTCATTTTCGTGAACAATAAAAATATTTTTTGTTCATTCATTTTTTTTTATAAATATGAGCAATCAATTTTATAAATATTTTTTTCTAAATCTTTCTTTTTTTGCTAAATAAACGGACTAAAGCTTTAATTGCTCCGCAAAAGATTCGACCCCACGTGAACCAAATCCTCGAAAGTAATATCCAAGTAGCGATAAGATGAGCATATCACTCTCGTAATCGGTGTGATGGGAAGCAGAAAAAGTATAAAAAAAGTCCTAAATCTATTGCATTTGTACCAATTCAGTCCTAGACATTTCAATTGAATCAATTTACTCTTAAACCTTTTCACATTGGTACCAATTCAATCCATCTGGCTAATTTAGGCCGAAAATTGCTGATGTGGATACCGGCCGATTTACATGATATGACTAGCGTTAACGTTGATAATTTTCTAAATTTTTAAATATTTTTGAATTTTTATTACATTTTTCTTTTTTCTTTTTTTTCCCTCAACTGTGGACCGGGAGAGCGTCCGACCCTCGCCCAAATCAGGCGAGGGTCACTGGCCTAGAGCGTAAAAAAAAAAGAAAAAAGAAAAGGAAAAAGGAAAAAAATTAATAACAAATTCGAAGAAAGTATTTAAAAATTAGAAAAAAAATGTTCATGTAAGTACTAGTCATACCACATAGGATGACTAATGTCCCTAGCAATTTTTTACCTAAATTGACCGGATGGACCGAAATTGTACAAATGTTAAAAGGTTTAGAACTAAATTGGTTCAATTGAAAAGTTTAGGACTAAATCGGTATCAATGCAACGAATTTAATATTTTTTTTGATACTTTTCTCGATGGGAGGCCATGAGCCAATTGCCCGGCATCAATGTTGGAGCCATTGCTCACTCGAACTAACCATTATACAAGCTACGTATCCCTCGCATTATAAGAAACGTCTCAGTAATTTAACACCACTCGGGATCGCTTTACTGAATATAGCGGACCGAAGTTTCAAGAGAAGCAATTGCGAGGATGACCTTTGGTGTAAGCATTGCGCGACCATGGAGACGATGGAGACAACCTAGGAACGACCATGGAGACAATATTACTATAGCAAAAAAATTAAACTACCTTTCCAAGATTTATTTTCAAATCATTTCTCTGAATACGGAATTGAAATTACAATTTTGCCGACCAAGAAAAAGGATTTAAATGCTAGAAATAAAAAAATTATTAATCAAATAAGAATTCTCGTACGCGGCATTAAAAGAAGTAAGATTGTCGTTCGCATTTCACATGTACAGATAATAATTTTCGAGTTTTCACTTTTATTTCCACATTTCGCACATACATTGACTCAACGAAGAATTATATAAAATTCATATTTTGCATATCAATATAGGTTGCATTGCGTTAGGATTTATTCTACTTCCATGTGTTGCAAAATGCTTCGTCTAAAATATTATCTCGTCGAAAATTAGCATGAAATTTCCGTTCGTTGTTCATGAGGTCCCGTCCTGAGACTTTACAACAAGGCGGTATATCTTTTTTGCCCGACTCATATTGGGTTTTGACACAAATCAAGTTGCGACCGGTAGGGTTTAGGAGAATCCGAGTCAAATATAAACTCTGCCTCACAGGAGGGACCATTTGCCCTCACTTGACAATCCGTCAAACCACCTCAAGGATCTCAGCCTCCGAAGGGTCGCTACGGATTCACTAAAAATCCGTCGGTGGAAACCAAAAATGAAATGTAAAAGTAGTTTGGATGATTCGACAATATCATTTCACTACTTTAATTCGGAGCGAGTAGATACTTTGTTCAGATGAATCTAAGTGATGGAATAATTAAGTCACAATTCATTGAATAGTTGTATCAGTAACCTTATTTATTCGGTGCGAATACTGCATATTTGGTTCAATTCATAAATCGATTATCAATATTGCATATTTGGTTCCATTCATAAATCGATTTTCTTCCCTTCGAGTTATAGTCTCAATAAGAATGCTAGGTTTTACCGTTTGTTCTTATGTTAAGATATGAATATAACGGCCAATTCATTATGTATGGATGATGAGATTCCATTGTACATGGCCAAATTCCAATATTCCTATTGGTGGAGTGCACCTTGTAGAAATTGCATTACGTATAATTTTTCGCGAAACAAAAGTATCCATATGGACAATATGGATGATGAGATTCCATTGTACATAGCCAAATTCCAATATTCCTATTGGTGGAGTGCACCTTGTAGAAATTGCATTACGAATAATTTTTCGCGAAACAAAAGTATCCATATGGACAATGTAAAAAAATAAGATAACGACATAAGTGGTTTTTGAATTTTGGTTCAATATCCAATACGGTTCCTGAACTTATAATATGTTTAACGCGGTCTTTAAATTTTAGCCCAATGTGCAATGTCGTTTATGCACTTTTTATTTATTTAATATGATCATTGAACTTTTGGTAATGTTCAAACTAGTCTATAGACTATATGAAAATATCTGATGTTATCCTTCTATTAATTTAAATTCAGGGACAACATTGAATATTTCCATATAGTTTGAATATGTATCAAAAGTTTTTTTTTTTTGCCCGTCCTATTTCTAACTCTTCTCGCTCTTTGACTTTTGGTCTTATCTCTTGCAGAGCACGGGAGTTGAACCCCGCACCTGTGATATTAGCGTCCTCAACCCCCCAATTTCTTTACCAATAGGACCGCATGTCTATTGACACCAAAAATTCAAATACCACATTGAACAAATTAGAAGTCCAGGGACGACATTGCGCATTGAGCTAAAGTTTGGGGACCACATCGAGCGAACGAAAAAGTTCACGGATCACATTGCACGTGCGGCTCAAGATTCAAGCACCATTTACGTCATTTTTCCCGGGAAGAATCATTGCCCGAATAAAACTCAAAATCGCCGACACGCGCACCACCGTTCTTATAAGATAAAATCATTCCAGGAACACAGAATTTCAAATTTCATTATCATGACCGCTCGTGACCGGAACTATAATTTATACAATCGCTGCTCTTGTTTTCCCCTTGTCCTTTTTAACCGATACAATCTAGATCCGCCCAAGGTTAATAAAAGAGAGATGATAAAAAAAAAAAGGGGGCGTTGGAGTCCAAACCGTTGAACCTTTGTTGACTCCTCCACCTCTCGCCCTCCCTCCCCCCAGACCCCGAAAAGCACCAGAACCAAAACGACAAAAAGGCAAAGCTCTCAGAGAATATCTGCAACTGCACAGCACAGCACAAGGACACTCCCTCTCGCTTCACCCTTCAATCATCTCCCATCTCCCATCTCCCATCTCCCGTCTCCGTCTCCGTGTCTCCGAAGCTCGGACCTCGCGCGTCGGAATCCAGCCATGGAGATCCCAGAGCGGCTGCTCCGGTACAGGTTCCACCTCCTCGCCGCCCTCCTCCTCGCCCTCGCCGCCTCCGCCCTCGTCTACGCCGCCCCCAGGTTCGTCACCGTCCTCGCCTACTTCTGGCCCCTCCTCCTCTCCACCGCCCTCTTCCTCGTCGCCGTCGTCGTCTTCGCCAAGACCTCCCCGCCCGCCGCCGCCGACGCCGACGCCTCCGGCGAGGAGCTCCTCGGCTACGTCGCCGGCCATCCGGAGCCCGACGCCGCCGCCGACGCCGACGCCCCCCTGGAGAGCCCCCACGACGAGTAAAGCTTCGAGATAGAGAAACCCCCCATCCCCACCAACCATCTTTCTTTTTTTCTATAAATAATTTTGTGGTAATTTCTTGACTCTTCTTCTTCCTGCGAAATTTCCTTCCTCTTTTTTTCTTCCCGTTGGGTGTCCGCAGTTGACTGAAATAAATAGCTCTTTAATGAAATTTCTTTCTTTCTTTCTTTTTCCCTTCCTTACATCCTCGAAATTACGAGAATTAATATATATATTTAACTTCGATAAATTTCATGTAATGAGTAAAAATAAAATTACGGGCCTAAATTCCGCCGTGAAATTTGTTTACTTCCGACGGTGCGAATGAATCCGGTACCGTGTGGGAATTTGCCAATCGCTGGGCGCGGTGGCGTTTAGGGTTTGTGATTGGTTTCGGCCGAGGCGCGATCTGGCTAACGTGCGCACGACGCGAGCTGCGCACCCCCGCCATGAAATTCTTGGGAAGCTTTGTGGCGCATCCTCCCGTGTGAAAAGAATCTGCGGCAGTAAATCTTGCCCCCGCGGCTCTATCATTGCGAAAAGAGAGGTTTTTAATGTACGGATCACGCGTTGGGGTCCAAATATATATTTTGCGATTCGACAACACTCATGTAGGATTTCGACATCACAACCTTGTGGATAGGATGTTGCGAAATTTTCCCCCTCCTTTCCGCGCCCGCTGAGCTGGGATTCGATCTCTGCTGTCGGCTCGCTTCGGTAATTATTCGACTGTAGGAACTTGACCCGATGAGATCGCTTGATTGATCGGATCACTTGAAAGGGTTTTGATACCCAATGTATATTAATCTTTAGGGTGTTGACTAACTTGTCTTCCCTTCGATCCTTGGCCTTGGTCAAGCTGTTAACCTCGCTGAAAAAAGGGGAGCTTTCGTGCCTTTACGAGAGTGCACGTCTCACACCCTCAATTCTTCCCGAACTTAGGAAGGAGAACACTCTCCGATTGATTTACATCTTAAGGATTCCGAGATCAGGACATGACCAAGATGAAGCAGTTTAAGGACCTTTTAATTTCGGTCGAAGGCAGTTTAAGGACTTACTTAGGTCCTAATCCAAGTAATTATTATTTGCTGGAAGAATGTTCATATAAGGAATGGGATTTTTTTGTTTTTTTTTTGGTCAGGAAGGAATGGAGTTTCAAAAAGTGTGGAAGATATAAACAAAATGGCCCCACTCAATTGGGCCGAGAGAGCCCATTAATGGTAACTTTGACCATGCAAGCCTCTATTGGGCGAGAAGAAGTAGCATTTCCCGTGGGTCGTCATGCTTACGTCACAATTAGCTGGCACACCTCCCCGTTCAATTACTCCAATCATTGTTGCCTGTCCCGGAAAAGTTGTGCATAGTTGCTTCAGCTCGTATCATTAGGCTTGTTCCATCAAGGATTGCAGAATTCAAATTGTTAGACATTAGTTTGTGTTTCCTGTATTTCTCTTGAACTTTCCCAATCTTTGTTCGCCTATATACTTGATGGGACCTTTGGTGCGGTTGGTTTGGTTAGGGGAAAAAGAATAGTACTTTGATTGTGCAATGATGCATACTAAAAAGTATGCAATGAACACTTCTTTGAATGTTTCGTGTATAAGACAAATCGATTTAACCCTTAATAGGACCGAACAACTCCTTGGGGGTCTCGCGAGTCTTTCGTCTCGAGAAGCGAGACGTTGGAGGCAGAACCTCTCGGTACCCTCAAGAGCCATTGGCTTTGTTTACCTCTATTAATATGATAGATTTCTGACACGATTCGACAACATCACTCGAACGTAACATTTATTTACTAGGTCTAGGTCGAGGCTAATCATGTCCGATACTATTTCGTGTCAACCTACAAGATTAATTTTGTGTTTACTCCGCTAGACACGAAACTGACCCGTATAGCACATACAAATTAATAGGTTAGTGTTGGCATGGTCTACATGTAACTCATTTAGACACGATTAGTTGAAAGATCGTTTTGTACATGTCATTCACTATTAAGATTTCAAATACATGATATTTCATTGATTATGGAGAAGTTGTTTAACTCGACTTTATGATGTTTTGTCAATAGACTATTGTGATTTGTAGCAGATTTTATGAAAAATTAGATATTATATATCAAGTTTGTGTAGGCAAGTTGATTTTGTGTTGGATGTTTATTTAATGTCTTAGCGGATTGTGGAATCGTATCAACCCATCAATCCATTATTTTATTGAGAAAAAATCAATTTGTGCTAATTCAGTCCTAAACCTTTCAATTGTGCCAATTGAGTCTTAAACCTTTTGAAAATTAGCCAATTTGATTCTTTTGGCCAATTTTGGCCGGAATTTTATTGATGTGGATGTCGACTGTCCTACATGGTACGATCGACATTAACGTAGATAATTTTTATAAATTTTTTTACAGAGTTTGAATTTTTAAATAATTAATTAATTAATTTCATTTTCTTTCTTTTTCTTTTTCCTTCTTCCTCCTCCAGTCGCCGGGCCTTGACGATGGCCAGCGATTAGCCATAGGCGAGAGTCAATCTCGCCGGCTTTGGGCTAGGCTTGCCCTTGTCGGGATTTGGTTAGGTGGGCTGGCTTGCGACTGGCGGAGGAAGAAGGAAAATGAAAAAGAAAGGAAAGGAAAGAAAAAGAAGAAAAAATTTAAAAAATATATTATTTTTAAATTGTAAAAATTATCCACGTCAGTGTCGGTCATACCACATAAGACGGTCGGCATCTATGTCAGCAATTTTTTGCCAAAATTGTCCGGAAGACTAAATTAGCACATTGTTAAAAGACTTAGGACTGAATTGATATATGTGTAATGTATTTAGGATTATTATGGTAATTTTTCCTATTTTATTGTGTTGCATCGATCGTGCTGGGGAAAATTATCAAATCAGTTCTAAACCAATTGTACATATGCCAATTCAGCCTTCAACTTTTCAATTTTGCCAATTTCATCATAACCCTTTGAATGAAATTCTAATTTAATTATTCCAATCAATTTCGTCGGAAGTTGGTAACGTGATGGTGTGCTATGTAAGATAACCGGTGATGACTAGACAGTCATGTTTGTGATTTCTAGCGAAATTTGATCGGGATGACTACATTGGAATTTCCCGGAAAGGTTTAAGATCGAATAGGCAAAATATAAAAAAGTTTACTTCTGATTTGGTATCCGTATGACAAGTTTACGACCAATTAGGTAATTTTCCTGTCGTGTTGTGCCAACTCACTATTTTTCGAGACGTCTTCCTGTTTCGCAAGTCGACATGATCGACCGATCCTATTGGGTTTGGGCTAATCTACTCTACAACACAAACACGATCCGCGAACACAAATCCATCGCCCTAATCTCTGTATCTTCTTAATGTGAACTAGACGGGAACTGCCATGCTCAACTGAGATTAGTAGGTGGACAAGCAACATCCAATATCCAAAATTCTTTAAAAAAAAATAGCACATTACAAAGAACAGAGCAAAACCTGGTAAATAAATTAAGGCTTTCCACGTAGGCACTGAAAGCTCATCACACCTTTCGCTACAACACATATTTTGTCCCATGCACTGATGTGATCTCTTGATTCCTCAAATCATGAAAGAAGGCCCCGACCACTCGCGTTTTTTCCCATTCAATCGAAAGGCCCTTTTCCTAATTTCTATTAACCTAATCTTGTCGTGTTAGCAAGAAGGTCGTGTTATAATATGTATTTTGCCAGTCTTGGGCGACCACATGTACAAATATCCGTGGATTAGTGTGTCGAAAATGATCTCGAAACTCGAAAATGGTACACGCATGAACTTGGGCCTGTGTCTAATTGTGGAATAAGATAATGCGATCCTTTGCTTTGGACATCGTGCTTATTCTTGCGAGACTGCGTGATTGACTGATTGTCCAATTTAAATTTGGAGAATCCTTTTCTCAAAGGATCATTGTCTTTCTTGCGGCAGTGAACGTGTGTCCTTCGAAATGTTCAGAGGATAGAATTTCCATGTGTTAGGGTCTCGTTTTGATTCCATCGACAAGGAATGTGTAAGTGGACTCTCATTCCAAATGATTCTATTCCATGAAAATCATATTCGTTTTCTATAATTTGGATGACAAAAAACTTCAGGTCTTTAGAAAAAATTTACAAGTAAGCCCCGGAACACTCAATGATCGAGATGCATTTTTCTTTTCTTTTCTTTTTTTTTTCCTTCGATTTTTCCTTTTTGCTCTTTTTGTCTTCTTCCCTACTTGACCGAGCAACTTTGTAGATCCATTGCTTGCTCGTCACCACCCGTCTCATGGCGCCGATCCCTCACTGTCCACTAGCAAGGGGCTTGCGTCATTTGTTGCCTCTCTCTCTCTCTAATGTGTAACAAGTTGCAAATGATGTTCTAGATCATATCAATCGTCGAAAGCCTAAATGGGCAAGTTCTAGATTGCCCCTTAATTGAAGATTCAAGATTTGCATCTTGATTCAGTTCTTGATTACCAAATTTAATTGTCTTATTTAGGTGGAGAATATTTCAATTTAAATATTTATCATAAACTATTTTTATGCCTTTATTTCATGAAACGTATTTTGGCAACAACATGAACTTCTTGTTTGTAGTTGACTAGATGGATAATGACACAAATGGCCTATGAACATTGGTCCAATGTGACCCCTGGACTTTTAATTTGTTTAATATGATTTATGAACTTTAGCCTAATCTTCAATGTGGTTCCTAAGTTTTTAATTTGTTCAATGTGATCCTTGGACTTTTGGTACATGTTTGATATAGTCCCTCTACTATATAAAAAAATGTTCAATGGATCCTTCCATTAATTTAAGATCAAGGACAACATTGAACATTTTCGTATAATCTAGGGACTAAATTGAATATGTACTAAAAGTTCAGAGACTATATTAAATAAATTAGAAGTTCAGGGACCACATTGAACAAATTAAAAGTTCATGGATCACATTGCATATTGGGTCAAAGTTCAGGAACCATTCGTGTCATTTTCCCTTGACTAAAGAAGTCATTAAATAATTGATTAATATGGTTGTTGGAAAATTGGTTAATATGGCCTTTGCAAGAGCAAGGGCTAGGCTAAAATTGGTTTGAATAGGATAATATAGGAAATGTCAAAGATTTGTTGTATCTTAGCTTTCCCCATCAAAACACGGTTATGACCATGGATATTTTCTGGCCTAATTCCCTAAAAAACCTCAAACTTTAAGATTTGTTCCAATTTTACCCTGAATTTTTTTTTGTCTCATAGAAACCCCTCAACTTTCATTTAAGTCCCAAATTTGCCCACTATTTGACCTTCGGTCCAACTTTTTGTTAATTGTCCATCGTGGCATTTCCACGTCAGAAAAAGTCCAGGATTTCAGACACTGTTCACACGAACTGTTCATCTTCTTTGCAATTCTTGTTCATTGTCTTCAACCTTCACCCGCCTATCAAAAGACACAGAACTCTACTTACCCATTCACCTTCACCTTCACCTTCACATCCCAAGACACACGAAACTCTTAACTTACCCGGTCACCTTCACCTCAACCTCTCTCTCTCTCGCAGCCATGCTCGAAGAATCGTGACAAGTGCACCGTCAATATGGGCGACCATGCACAGCTGGTTCACGCCAGTGTTTTCTCCGTGCTCCTCAACCTCATGATTGGCACCATTTTCACCACATCAAGCCTTAGTAGCCACAAACCCAAGGAAGAAGAAGGAGACCCACATCAACAACAAAGAAATCACGAAGATAGCCCAAAACCCCAACACCTCGCCATATCTGCATCAATGTTGCAGAGGCTCAAGTCCGTGAGTTTCTACAACTACAGATCCCAAGAACCCAACACCCATTTTGGCAAAACCCTTGAAATGGAAACCCTTCATGGGTTCTTACAGCAAGGCTCCGAGCTTGGACAAGAACAAGAGGGGGAAAGCGACAAGGGAACTCCTTTCTTGACCAGATCTCCTTCAATGCCGGACAGGCTCAAGTCGTTCAATCTCTACAAGTGTGTGTCCCAAGAAGCTAGCTTTTCACAGACCTATCACAGCTCCGAGCTACCCTCGGGAGCCGAATAACACGGAGCCCAAGCCGAGGAGGAAGAACAAGTTGACCCAGTGGAGATGAGGAACCGGAAGAACAAGATGAGCGGGAAGTAGAAGAAGTTGAAGAAGACAAGGAAGAGGATGAACAGAGTCTTAATGATGTGTACATCATGAAAGACAATCGGGTTAAAAAAATCAAACCGGCACCAAACCAACATCAGGCGAGAGCAGCTGAACTTCCCCATTTCCAACATCTTCAAATGTGTGAAGGACGGCAATGTGATCGGGAGAGAGGTGCTGGGATTGTGTATCATGGTAAAATGCCAAATGATGTATTTGTTGGATGACAAATCGAGCAATCCGGACCTTACCAAAAAAAAAAAAAATCGAGCAATCCGGAGGTTGAAGATGATGAACAGTAACCGCAAGTTGAAGAAGATGAGCGGTTCGTATGAACAGGGAAGTTGACGTGGCATTTTTATGGACGTGGCGATGCCACGTGGGACGACTAATGGTACTGTTGGACGGAAAGTCAACTGAGGGCAGATTTGGGACTTGAGTGGAAGTTTGTGGTTTTTTACATGACAAAAAATAGTTCAGGGTAGAATTGGGACAAACCCTAAAGTTTGGGGTTTTTTAGGGAATTAAGCCGATATTTTCTTTTTGGTAAGATATTACAATGGATATAATCATGAGAAAATATGGATAAGTGTATTGGAAACTTGTCACAAAAGTGTAATTGAGTGCTTAAAACTTTTAAAGTGCAATCAAATCCTTCTATTAATTCTGTCCAATTTGGTTAATGGAAAACGCTGACATGAATTTTTGTATTTATTATTTTCTCCCTACTATGTGGCGCTGACGTGGCTAAAACATGAAGCAGAGGGTTAAAATGACATCGTTTTAGTCAAAATCTGATTTTTTTAAAACCCAAATTATATTTAAATTAGATTATTTGATTTGAATATAATTTGGATTAAAAATTAGATTCGAACCAAAACAACGTCATTTTAAACCTATGCTTCATGTTTTAGTCACTTCAGCACCACATAAGAGAGAAAAAAATAATAAAAAAAACTACATCAGCATTTTTGGTTAGCCAAGTTAGATGGAGTTGGCAGAATACTTGATTGCAACATTTGACAAGTTTTAGGTTTTGGTTACATTTTTTGTAAGTTTTAGGACTCAATTGTACTTTGGTGACAAGTTTTAGGACTTCCAATATATTTATCCCAAAAAATATTAAATTATTATTAAATATGTGATTGGAGGTGTGATTGTGATGCTCCAACCCATCTTGGTGGTGATCACCACCATCAATGGTTGCGTATCTGCGACAGTGGTCGCATCTGTCACAACGATCTCAAGAAGAGGTAAATGCAAGATGATCTTGCTGCACAGATGACCACCTTCGCTATGGTGGTTGCCTGTCAACTGGTGCCGTCGTCGCACTATGCCACTTGTGAACAATAACCATGGCCGCAATCGTCTCAATAATGAGCAGTGTGGTTGACCACCCTAAAAACAACAATTTCTCTGTACTGGTCTTGATCTTATAGGAGATCCAAGCTTGGAAAGTTTACTAGGTAAGCAATGTTGAACGATCACTTTTCTTGCATTTCATCTTCACATTGTTCCACATTAACGAATTTGTGAATGTTGTATCTTGTTTGACTCTATAAAACTAACTTAGGAGGCCATTCTTGTTTAAATGTTACCCATGATACATATAATTAGCATATAAAGATGAAAATGGTCAATTGTCCATCAAGAAGGTAGTAATGAGTTTTTTTTTGGGCAAAAATAGAAAATCTATGTCAATGCCCAATGAAAGTATGGGCCGGGTCGGGGCGAGGATAGAGAATATGATCCATATCCCTACCTGGCCCTGTGCTCATACCTAATCTCAGGTAACCATCCTGCCGGTTTTCATCAGTGACGTTTATGGCTACGCTGCGTTGGTGTCACCTTCTGCCTCATTCTTATTGAATTTTCTCTTTTATCCACTTGATTTTTAAAATCTTTTTAATCTTGTCCGGGTGAGATAATTTTATCCCACCCCTAGGCCCTCAGCAAGTTATTTAGGATTTTTGTCTGGACTTACCCTAGTTTATTCTAATTTAATAGGATGATTTCTATCTCAATCGGAGTTTTATCCAAAAGACCAAACATATTTTGAGAGTGTAACATAGATATAAGCTCCATGGCCGAAGAGAAATTCCAAAGTACGACCCATAAGTTTTTCTCCTCTCGAAGCAAGAACAAATGGATCCACCAAGCACAATTTGCTATCTAGGCAAAGCTACTCTGAATTCTCAATTTAAATTGCCACGGGATGGATGTTTCTGCGATTAATTTCTTTGCAAAGATGTGCTCATAGCCAAAAATACAATCGGGCGGACTAATTGCCGCCCGATAACCTTTCTTGCCAGACTACGAAAGCTCAAGGTTATTTACTAAAAACCAAGTACTATCAAACTCTAATCTCATTCTATTAAAATTTCCGGTCACTTTGGTTTATTTGAAAAGGGCAAACGATCAGATGGGTTGAATTTCAAACCCGAACTCAGAAACAATAAGCCCATGATAAAGCCCAGTCGATGGGCCAAACCATTGGGCTCTGAAAATCTTGGCCCAATCCATGTACGATGACCAGAGTCAATTTCCTCCAGCTTCCATAGCCTCCAAGTCCAAATTTTTTATTTTTGGTCGAACTCCAGGTCCAATTGAAATAGAGCTTTTTATTCTGTCCGTCGTCAATAACGTTCTCATGCGACAATGTTAGGAATCCACATGGTCGCTAATGTGACAGGTATTCGTTTTCTTAGCAGCATGGAATTAGTGATTATTGTGTTACGTAGACCGGTTCTATGGACCACTCGGGAACCAGATCGACATGAGGGTCCATGGAACTAGTGGGAGGTTCTCAGTTCCCATTTTGTGGAGGTAGTTCTTAGTGAGTGGGCAGTTCCTGGTTCCAGGGTGATTACCGTCCATCCTCACCCTGTAACTAATTACCCCTAGTTTTAAGAAAGACTTCACGAAGTCATGGCTCGTGTTACATGGTTTTAGTCCACTAAGCTCTCCCTTTCGGCAGGACGACCCCAAATCGCGTCGTGCATTCAATTAACTAATTAATACATGAGCGAATTTGCCGTATTTATGTGGGCCGACGCCATCCTCAAATGAATATGTGACCTTGCCCCGAAAGTTGCATAGGGCCATACGATAGCAAATCGACAGGAGCGGTGCCTAACGTTTCGTAGCAGCATCAATTGGATCCTCGAGTTTATGTTAGTTTAGTTATTCATTTTTTGATGCTGATTTGTCCTAGAAAACTAGTTATTTTGGGTGCTGATACGATCCCTATCAATGGGACCGATAAGGCAGGCAACTTTTCTCCCATAGCAAAAACATATATCTACCTTTAAAACCAAAAGTTTACTCAACTTAAAAAAATTGTGCCATTTCTTTTTCCAAAGATGATGCTCCAGATCTTCTCACGCACATCCACATCCAAATCCGGGACAATTACCAACCAAATCTTGAGCTTATCACATTTATGTCACTTTAGTCTTAAATATTGGCAAAAGGACGCTATAAGTGCCATAACTTTTTTTCGGATCATTTTGGTGCCAACTTTTTTGAAAAACGATTACTTGAGTGCCAATGCTGACATGGCATGCCGGAAATCTGTTGTGTCTCTTTTTTATTAATATTCGATGCTGAGATGGCTGGCCGGAGTTGGCTGGAGAGTCCAGTCAGCCCTTATAGCGAAAACGACGTCGTTCAACCTTTCTTCCCCCAATATAGGAACCCTAAATCGGCTAATTGGACATATTCCCCAATTGCAAACCCTAACCGGCCATATTATTTCCTTGTTTTCCCCGAAATTGCCAGCTGAAGGTTGCAAATGGATGACAGAAGCTTTACTAGCGGCTCAAATTCGTTTGAACGAAGTGAAGAAGAAGGTCGGTTCTTCTGTTATTGTGGATTACCGAGTCCAAGAAGAACATCTTGGACTCGATTGAACCCCGGAAAAAGATTCCATGGATGCGCTAGGTATAGAGAAGGCTCGAAGTGCAAATTCTTCAAGTGGGTTGATGCGAAATTTTCAGATCGAGCAACAGAGGTGATAGTGAAGCTACTTGAAGCTCGACATCAACCTCCACCGATATTAATGGACGAGTTGGACGATGTCGACTCATTGCAAGCTGAAATGAAGGCTTTAGCATCTCTGGTCAACCATTTGAAGAAGGAAGTTTGAAGGATGAGAATCGAAAGAAAGTGTTATCAATTGTTGATTGTGTTATTGATATTTTTTATAGCCTATTTTATGGTCAAATGTAATGTCAGTGATGAGCAAAAGTTTCTTAGTCTACCATAATTTAAGATAGGCTTGTACTATGTACTTGTATTTGGCAATTTGTAGCTACGATTGTGTTATTAATTTGCTCCAATTTATGTATGTAACAAGAGGTTTGCTGCAATCTATGACAAATGGAAGGTTGGAATTTATTGGTTCTCAATGTTGAGTTGCTTAGTATTTTGTTGCTGCATATTTTGATGCAGTTTTGCCTCATTGGCAGCATATTTTGTTGCATATTTTTGCTCATTTGCTGTCTTTTGCTGCACTTCCTCATTTGCAGCAATTTTGCTGCATATTTTTGCTCATTTGCTGTCATTTGCTGCACGTCCTCATTTGCTGCATATTTTTGCTCATTTGCTGTCATTTGCTACACTTTCTCATTTGCAGCATATTTTATTGCATATTTTTGCTCATTTGCTATCATTGCTGCACTTCCTCATTGGCAGCATATTTTTGCTCATTTGCTGCACTTCCTCATTTGCTTCATATTTTTGCTCATTTGCTGCATATTCACTTGTTCATTTGTTGTATTTTTTTCATCTGGTTAGATGGTTGCATATTATGGAGTAAGGCTCACTACTGAAAAATGAGGTGCTGCAAGTGCTACAACTCTGCGTAGCAGCAAATTATGAAGTCGTCACAAGTTCAGCAGTTGACATTTTAGTGCCAAATGTTTCTAATCG